CAGCATCATCATAGATCTAGTGACCTTACAATTACCAAAATGTGCTTAAGTAGCGTTTAAAAATGTTGGGTGTTGATAAGGCGTTTGCAGCCTTTCCAGTTGGCAACTTTAATGTTAACTCCTGCCTTCCAAACGACCAACAAAACCTCCAAAGATTTAAAAACTGACGTTTCAATTAGTGAAAATGAAATAAGGCAGGATGTCCATGTCTCCCTTTAGGACCCTGTCATTTTCTTTTGTAAAGCGCTCAGACTTCCGGTTCTGCTCATGGTGTTGCTCTTTGAAGTCCTCGTCCTGAGCTTTGGAAACACTGGCTAACATTCCTTAGGGCATGACACACGGAGCTGCATTGGTTGTCCCGACACAACGTCCTTCCAGGAGAATTGCAGCTTGTTAAACAGAGACTTTCTGCAGAACATGCGCTGTAGAAGTAGCAGGCTGGAGCTACAGCTGCTTTCCAAATGTCAGAGAAGATAGTATAGACAGGTGTTGAGTCAGATGAGCCATGTGCTTATGAAGTCACTGAAAAATCCCTAATATAGTCCCACAGACGTTCTTAAAGCCCTTTTAAATACATGATTTTATTTCTTTTTATTCTTAAAGCTTTTTTTTTTTTTTTTTTGATAGGAGCTATTCCTTTGGCTGGTTATTCCTTTTTGGAATTCAGGGTTGGGCGGTCTTGGTTTGATGCCTTCACTGACTGTTGGTGTTCTGCCTTTGCTACAGAAAAACAGATTTAAATTAGATTATATCACCTCCAGTCATAAACATTCTTTATAAAACCCACTATGGAAATAAATTACTTACTTGAAATAACTAGTTCCTGATTTTGTAACAAAAATATTAATACCAACTTTCCACCTTGGTGATTTTGCTTTTATTGAAAAATATCTAATCATTAATTTCAAATCAATCAGGGCAATTATTTTCTTTTTTTTTTTTTTGCTTTATAATCTAACCGGCTAAGTCCACTTTTGTTTTCTTGGAACTGTTATGCATTAAAGAGAGAACATGTGTCATGTTTTTGATGAAAGTAGTAGGGATTTGATTCCAACTGAAGTTATAAAGATTATTCTCTTCTATGCATCACTCCTATGTTCCTAACCCTTCTTTTGTCTCTAAAAAAGTTTGGTAAAGTACTGCATTTAGTTGATGTGTCTGTAGACTGAAAATGTTATAGGTTTTGACACATTTAAGGATTTTTTCCCCCCAGTATTAGACCAGCGGACCATCAGTCAGAGCTGGATTATGATCTCTGGTTTATTGATTGGTGCTTTTTTTTACTGGAGATTGTGTTAAATCCCCTAATTGGAGTCCTCTAAATATCCCATCAAAAACATTACATCAATGTTTGTTTTTTCTTCTAGAGGACCGACTATAAGAGCGCATCAAACCCTGACCCCCGTTTTGTGTCTTTTGCTGTATGGTTTATCAATGTTGTGATATTTAATTCTTTGCTATGAAGCTAAAGTGTGCTGCAGTATTTCCTAGTATACATCTCTGTTGATGGTCTTTTCTTATTTAGTTTTGTTTATTGGGGAGTGATGTCTCATTTCAATCTGTTATCGTAGCGTTTTCTGTATACCCTGTTCCTTAACCTGATATTATCAAGTATGTTATGAGAATGGATATTTTACTGGCTTTATAGAATGTTTTAAAATAAATATAATATTGACAATAAGAAAAAAAAAAGGATTATTTAAACCTCCTAACACGTTGAGTACCTGCTACTAAGCGCTTGTGTTTTTCCATTAGGATATTGTGTGCTTCTCTTAATCATTTTCGTTGTAGAAAAATTGAGTGAATTTATATTAGGCTTTGAAAAACTAATGACACAATTGTAAATTTTGCAGGAGGGTTTTATTAGACCAATGGCTTCATCAGATTTAAAAGAATAGTTCTTTTAATTGTCCTTACTAACTTTAGGATGAGAAAGGGGCTCACATTGTGGAAACCTTGTTCTAGCTTGTTATTCACTGTTACTTTTGATCATTTTTTCGGTCTCAGAGGTGAATCGAGTTAATAATGAGAATTTGTAAGCTCACATATGCATATTGTATATGTGTAGAAATGTAATCACACTTTGTCTTGGATTTACATTAAACTTAAGTCACGGCAACTGTCTCCTTTTTGTCCCATGCTGTGTGTGTGTGGTTGTATTCTTTGGACTAGGACTATAAAAGCATGCATATTACCTATTACCATGATATTAAGGCAAAGGGCTGGATTTAGAAATCAGGAACTTTGCTAAATCAAAGGGATTACACCCAGCACATATCTACAAAAACACCATCCCAGCGGTGAAATATAGTTGTGGCTGCAACATAATTGGGGATCAAACTCCCCAGTGGAGGGGAAAAGAATAATGAACCTGAAAACAAGACAATACTGCAAGAAAATGTGTTTATAAAATACTTTTCTGACAGTTGATATTTGTCGGGCAGTGTATCGACTCTTTATGATACCCTTTGCCAGACATATACATTTTCATAATGAGACTATTTGCAACCTCTCAAGTTATGGCTTTGTAGAAATGATTAAATTGTGCAAATCACAGGAGAGTTCCAATTAAATGGGTAAACTCAATTACAGGTGCTGGTCATAAAATTAGAATATCATGAAAAAGTAGATTGATTTCAGTAATTCCATTTAAAAAGTGAAACTTGCATATTATATTCATACATTACATACAAACTCATATATTTCAGATGTTTATTTTGTTTAATTTTGATGATTACAAATGACAACAAATGAAAATCTCAAATTCATCATATCAGAAAATTAGAATATTGTGAAAAGGTTCAAAATTGATGGCCCCTGGTGCCACACTCTAATCAGCTAATTAACTCAAACCACCTGCAAAAGCCTTTAAATGGTCTTTCAGTCTAGTTCTATAGGCTACACAATCATGGGGAAGACTGCTGACTTGACAGTTGTCCAAAAGACGACCATCGACACCTTGCACAAGGAGGGCAAGACACAAAAGGTCATCGCTAAAGAGGCTGGCTGTTCACAGAGCTCAGTGTCCAAGCACATTAATAGAGAGGCGAAGGGAAGGAAAAGATGTGGTCGAAAAAAGTGTACAAGCAAGAGAGATAACCGCACCCTGGAGAGGATTGTGAAACAAAACCCATTCAAAAATGTGGGGGAGATTCACAAAGAGTGGACTGCAGCTGGAGTGAGTGCTTCAAGAACCACCACACACAGACGTATGAAAGACATGGGTTTCTGCTGTCGCATTCCTTGTGTCAAGCCACTCTTGAACCACAGACAGCGTCAGAAGCGTCTTGCCTGGGCTAAAGATAAACAGGACTGGACTGCTGGTGAGTGGTCCAAAGTCATGTTCTCTGATGAAAGTAAATTTTGCATTTCCTTTGGAAATCAAGGTCCCAGAGTCTGGAGGAAAAGAAGAGAGGCACTTCATCCACGTTGCTTGAAGTCCAGTGTAAAGTTTCCACAGTCAGTGATGGTTTGGGGTGCCATGTCATCTGCTGGTGTTGGTCCATTGTGTTTTCTGAGGTCCAGGGTCAACGCAGCCACATACCAGGAAGTTTTGGAGCACTTCATGCTTCCTGCAGCTGACCAACTTTTTGGAGATGCAGATTTCATTTTCCAACAGGACTTGGCACCTGCACACAGTGCCAAAGCTACCAGTACCTGGTTGAAGGACCATGGTATCCCTGTTCTTAATTGGCCAGCAAACTCTCCTGACCTTAACCCCATAGAAAATCTATGGGGTATTGTGAAGAAGAAGATGCAATACACCAGACCCAACAATTCAGAAGAGCTAAAAGCCACTATTAGAGCAACCTGGGCTATCATAACACCTGAGCAGTGCCACAGACTGATCGACTCCATGCCACGCCGCATTGCTGCAGTAATACAGGCCAAAGGAGGCCCAACTAAATACTGAGTGCTGTACATGCTCATACTTTTCATGTTCATACTTTTCAGTTGGCCAACATTTCTATAAATCCTTTGTTTTTATTGGTCTTCAGTAATATTCTAATTTTCTGATATGATGAATTTGAGATTTTCATTTGTTGTCATTTGTAATCATCAAAATTAAACAAAATAAACATCTGAAATATATGAGTTTGTATGTAATGTATGAATATAATATACAAGTTTCACTTTTTAAATGGAATTACTGAAATCAATCTACTTTTTCATGATATTCTAATTTTATGACCAGCACCTGTATATCTTAATTAGATCTTCTACAGGTGTGGCCCCAAGAAGACTGTAGGCTCTAATGAGTCAAATCATACTTTTTGTTTTTATTACTTAAAATGAGCAGATTTCAAAATTATTTATTAAAGTCACATGTTCCCCAGATAACAAAAGCCCCGAAAATATTTTAATTGGGGATGTTTAGACATTGAAAACCTCAATTACACATGAGTAGTAGGACCTCTGTGTCACCACTAGGTGTCAGTGTGCACCGAAATGAAAGAAAGGGCTATGACGTAAACGGGTTATGTTAAATATCTCAAAAGAAGTTCAGGATCCTTCATTAGAAAACCGATCTTTGGATTTTGCTATTAAACTGTTGAATGGAATGTTTTCTTATTTTGACAAAACAAGCAGAAAAATAAACCATAAATGTGGATATTTCCCTCCTTAAAACGGGTGTTGCATTATAATGGGGCTCCAAATTGGAATTGGACTAAAAAGTTAAATATGAACGCTTACATTACGTTACATTAAGTTATAAAGAAATACGGGAAATGGGTGAAAAGTTACATGGTTCAAAAGGAGGGTAATCCTATTTAGCAGATAAAGGCTGACACGAAGATGTGCCCCCCTCATTGTGCATCATTGCATAAAGTAACGTTGCCGTGGAAGCCGTAGACGCCAGTAAGAGAGGACCAACCTAATATCAAAAGCAAAATCTGACAGATATGACTATTAGCCTATCAGAATTAGTCTTGATAAATAAAAGACCAATCAGAGCTGGCGGAGGGCGGGGTTAAGTCAATCAGGACGAGTGAGGGTAACTGGTAACTGAACTATCTCACATCACAAGGAGCTATCAGTCTACAGCCGCACGCGCACCCGAAAATAACTTTAGGACAAAGAATGTCCACATAAAGCGTTAGGGATAAAGCTTTAAAGAAGATTTTACTCGTTTTATGGATATTTTCTCCTCACTCTAATACAAACTGGCTGAGTCGGAGCTCGCTTTTGATGGGTAAGTGTATGTGCGCAGCTATGAGCTGGCTGAGAGGACAGTCAGCTCTGGGAGAGGTGGAGGACAATTGTTTTACCCGTGGGTTTGGAGCCAGCTTTAGAGAGTGTAGCTATCCAAAACTTGAGCTTCTACTGGGGAATTTGAGGATATTAGCTTTGTGAAGCTTTATTAAAAAGCACGTGATCGCTAAGCTCAGAGTAACGGGACGGGATGTAGGACAGGAGACTGAAGTGTATCAGGATGACAGAGCTAGAGCTGCACAGACAGGTCTGCTTGGTCCCAACCATGCTAAAGAAACACATTCTAGAAATATTTATCTACAAGCTTTTGGAAAAATGTGTATGTCCATTTGGGGGAGAAATTATTATCCAGGGTATATTGAGCTACATGAGGTAAAATGCATTATTTTGAAGAGAGACGAATTTTTACCCCCCAGCTTTAAAGCTCCCATATTATGCATAACTCACTTAATAAACATTTTGTAACAGTCATATGTGTCCCGAAGCCTGCGTATGTGCTCAGCAAATGAAGAAAAATCCTTTCTCTCTCACTGACTTTCTCCAGCTGGTAACTAATGTGTGCTCAAAATGCTCTGTTTGAACATCATGCCCTTTATGACATCATAAGGGGAAGAAACCGTCCGGAACGGTTGATGGGTTGATAACTGAAAATCTTTGAATATCTTGTTAATTCTTTATTTTGTTTTTGCGCTGTTTTCTCAGTCACCACTTGAACAAGCATAACTCATTTTTGAGAGAGGGAAAAATCTACATTTATGTGTGTAGTATTTTGTCACAATAATCTTCTTATTGACCATGAATTAAAAATAATTTATTTTAAGTAATAAGCTGAACTGGATATGTTGAAATGACAAAAAAAAAATCTACATCTAAGGATTTATAATTAAGTTATTAACTAAAATTTGTATCAATTTATATACATTTGGAATTACTATAAACTCATAAAAAATGTTTAGTTTTTTCTAGATGTGTGACACTGCAATCATATAAATCAAAGATAATAGAATAGAATAGAATCTTTATAGTCCACCAAGGTAGAAAATTGTCTTTGGCTCGCTAGACAGGCAGTACTAAAACACAAATGCTGAAAAAAAACAATTAGAACAAACATCAATGCAGATAAAAAAGTGGTACAAAAAAATACACGAAGCTAGAGAAGTTTTATCAGTTTTCCCCATATAGAGTTCTTTGAGGTGTATGTTATTTTTTTTTTAAAACGTAATTCTTATATTTAAGTTGAATTTGAAATGTTAAATATCTAGTCGTGATTTTAGATGTTGTCGTTTTATCAACGTACTGCAAATTAACACAGATTTTTTTCAGTCATTTCAGTAAATTGGCATTAGAACAGAGAGCGTAGCATAAAAGTTACTTTCTTCCTCGTCTGCTACTAAAATTGCAAATTAGCTCATTCAGACAAAAAGGAGCACTGTTTACTTTTATTCTCCTTAATCTTCTCTGGCATACATTCTTCTTCTATGGTGTAATTTGGTTGGTGAGGCAATCTGCAGTCAGGGATTACTCGTGTTTGGGGTTGTTGTCCTGCTGGATTGTGAACCTCTGCCTCAATCTCAAGTATTTTAAAGCCTCTGACAAGTTTTAATCCATAATTTCCATGGATTTAGCTCCGTTCCTATTCCCTTTAACCCTTACAAGCTTTCATGTATCTGCTGAACAAAGTCATCCCCCACAGCATGATGCCCCCTCCACTATGTTTAATGGAGGGAATGGTGTGTTCAGGGTAATTTGAAGATATTTTTTTCCACATATCACATTAAGCAAAGAACAAGGGTCCTTTCTTGGTGGTCTTGGCTGGTCGTCCTTATGGGCCACATATGTGGATTAGGGCTGCTCCTATCAATTCTTTTAGTAATAGATTCATCTATTGATTACTTTTTTAAAATAATCAGTTATTCTGAAAACAAATGTTTTCAGTAAATAATAATTTCTAAATAAATAAACATTTGCATTGTATAAAAAAAGCTTTTTTTTTAAGTATTTTATATGAATTGGAAATGGCAAAACCATAAAAAAGTATAGAATAAATAGACATATACATGTATTGATATATTTATGATGCAAACATTTTTCATCTTCAATGGAATATGTTATACTTTTACTGGAGTTTTTCTTAATTGCTGCTGTAAGTAGGTCATTCTTTCAGTAACGGACCTGTTTAAGATTCTTTGGACTATTAATCTAGGCAACAATTGAACTACTTTATAGTGAGATGAATTTTAAAAAAGATCTATTTTCACCATTAATCTGATCAACCCTTTCAGCCCTAACGTGGATCCGACAGCAAGCGGTTGTTCTGTTAACAAATTCTGGATCTGCATCTCTCTCCATAGACATGATTGGCCATCTGGTTTCTCTGATTAATGCTCTTTGGACATCCATGTTCCTGCAGGTCTGCAGTTGGTCCATTCTTTCTCCATGTTTAAATGGTAGATTGAACAAAGCTCTGGGAGATGTCGACCTGCCTGCTGTGTTCCTTGTTTTTTTGTTTTTTTTTTTCTACAATGTCCTGTCTGGTAATGTGGCAATAAGAATAATTGTCTTGATGCCAAAAAAAACCCAACAGATTTTACTTTCACAAGTGGAGCAGTACGGCTATCGCCATAGTGTTCCGCTTGATTTATGCATATACATTGCTTTATTATAATTATACAGGGAGTTTTACAGATTATTTGGACATTGCAATGTCAGTAAAGGAAAAGTAATGTACAGGAAAGGAAAAACAGAAAAAACGGAGAAAAGATGAAAGAAAGAGGAGATAAAGGGGAGATAATGATAAAACATTTTCAGTCAGTTCCTTGGTTTTTCTGATGTTTTTTTCCTCACTACCAAACCTTTGAGGTCTTCACAGAACAGCTCCATTTATACTTATATTTACCTAGATAAAATGCAATACTCCAGTTAAAAAACAGATCTTATTTTTCAGATTTATAATTTTTTACTTCACATTTGACTTTTCATTATTTACTGTTTTGTGTTGATTCTGGACATAAACTAATAAAACACTGTGATATTGGTGGTTTTAATGTGAGAAAATATGAAACTATTCACAGGATATGATTGCTTTTGCAAGGTGTCATATGTTAGTAATGAGAAGTAAAGTTTAACAATGAGGCTTTGTGTTTAGCATCAATCTTTATTTTTTTTCTTGCAGCCTTTCTGCATGGAAGATCATCCTAACAAAAGAAAAGCAGTAACCCAAGCCTTGGTTTATCTCGGTCTGTGCCATGACTTTTTACGTCTTATCCGGATGAAATGCCCTGAAAGTTCAACCCCGCCATCATGGCAGGTTTACACTCCGCTGTGGGTTTAGCAGTGAAGCTCCAGGCTTTTATGCATGGCCAGTGTGTCCTCTTTCTTGGGATAACCGTGTTGGCATCAGTGATCTCAGCTGGCTCACCTCTAGCAGGTAAGAGAACACCTTTCTCTGTCTCATATGATCCACTCCTTTTAAACTTTGGGTTGGTGTAGATTCTAATCTTGTGAAACATCCTCGTATGTGTAAGAAAGCAGAAAATGCTGTTCAGATGAAACAAAGTTAAAACAGAAATTAAGGATAAAAAGACAGAAGTTTTCCAAGCATCACGGCCTGTTTTAAAAAGCAATTATTTTGCAATCATGGTTTTTATATTTACACAAATTTCAAAAGAGCAGTTGAGACAGAATATATAGATTTTTTGTATGCCAGGATCTATTTATTTAGTAACTGTTTTGAGTTTTTAATCTTTTTCTATAGTAACTGTTGTTTTTCTTTAATATGATTATCTTTGGGAGTTTTTATTTGTCCACCACTTTGTGGACAAACAATTACAGTATATCCTCACCTAACAATGACATTATTATTCTATTCTATTCTAGAGCATCAATGTGGGGTGAATGTTTGCTTATCATCAAAGATCTAGCCAGAGTGTAATTAGGATTAGGATTATCTTGATGGATATCTGCTCTGGTTTCCTTCCCCTGCCTCAGCAACAGTGTCTGGTTTATGTGAATCAGGAACTTTGAACTACATCCACTATTCTGAGCAGAATATGTGACTTGTTTACTTAAAACTTTGGAGATACTGGTTGGAACAAATGCAGTCTTGTTTGTGAACCACAGGGCAGCTGCACTGGGGGTGTTGCATTGACCTTTGCATTGGGAATCTAGTGACTGAAATGAAGCATCCGCATCAGGATTTGATGTACAGATTTTAGAATTAAGAGTTTAACAACTTTCTGCGAGTTTAATGTCTAAATCTACTGGGGAGACATTTTCTCTGGACTTCGATTTATTGATGCTGACGTCTGATCAATAGCCCTCCCTCTCAGGGAAAAAGAAGCCCTTCTAAAAGATCACAAGTAGCTGCGTTATTATATTTTTAACAGGATTTTGTTGGAAAATAGGAATTAGTGTTTCACAAAGTCCTGCTTAGATGATAACGTCACAATAAGTATGAAATAACCCCTGTCCTCTGAATACAGGACTCATGATCTTTGACCTAAAAGTGAGGTGGAGTTATGTCTTATGTTGGGCTGCTTGATAGAACAAAATCTTATCATGGGTATTTTAGAATAGAGTTCCACTTTATTGTCATTACACAGTCACAAGTACAAACCAACGAAATTTAGTTTGCATCTATCCAGAAGTGCTTAACAGGATATAAATATTTATTTCAGGGGTTGATGTTAAGGATTTTTACCACTTGCCCAAAGGGCATGTGACTTGTGGCATGTGAACAATTTTTACTTGCCCAGTATAATGCTTGATAAATACAGTTCCTAATATTCATTTTTGTATATATATCAATGAAACATGTTTGTTTCTTGTCATGTCATGTCATGTTTTTTGTAATTCAGTATTTTTTAAGTTTACAGGTTCCTGGTGTGTATCTGCATGCGTCAGATAATGAACTTAAGCCTACATTACCATGTTAACATGCTTTTCAATCCTTCCTGCATATTCTTTTCAAACTAAACTTTGCTTTAAACAGTTGTATGCTTGGAAAAATATAAATTGTAATGTTAAAAATCTAAAAAAAAGGTTAAAAACTTAAGATAAATCACAAGTCAGAAGTCAATGTCAATAAATAACTTTTATTTTAGAGTCAAGGTATGTTTATACAAGATAATACTATTAATATAATGTGACTTTTCTAGAGAATTATTATACATATTTATTTTATACAGGGTTTCCACAGTCTTACATAATTTCAGAATTCCCTGACTTTTAACTGACTCAGGATTAGTTTTCCCTGACAAAATAAATGCAGCAACAAGACAATAATAATAACATAACCGGTCACCAATTTAACATGTTTAGCTCTATAACATTTAAATGCACCTCTCCAATGTCTAAGAGAAAAAAATGTAATGAACATTTTTTAATGTATGACCTGCATCACTGTACAGAAGACTGCCATATGATAGCCATATTTACACTGTGCGCAGCATAATTATGCCAATTTTCCTAATCCCTGACAAATAATTTTTAATCTAGGGTTATCTAGGTGGTGGGTGAAATGGGTGGAGGGTAAAATAGCCTCGTTGTTGTTTTTTAGCCTGCCAAGTCGAAAAAAATGTGTCTGATTCGCACCGGACAAAAATCACACCATCTGGCAGAAAATCAAGCGGCTTTCTGAAATCACGCGAGAATGTGTACAAAACAACAAAAATGGCGCCGGCAACGCTTGTAGGTCGTTTTCAGAGAACGTCGGTGATTTTAAAGTAATTTTGAGTGAGAAATATATTTTTTTGCGATCATTGCACTTGCCCGGCGGGCAAATGCAATGAAATTTGTACTCTCCCAACAATGAAAACTACTCGCCCCGGGCGATCCGGCAATGGTTAACATCGAGCCCTGTATTTACATGTGTACAGAGACTATGTATGTATGGACTGTAAATGGTATAAAAAACAGAGAGTAAGTGTAAGAGGCTATAAATAAATATGGAAACTATATACACATTATACAGGAAAGTTAGGATATGGATTATGTATATTTTATTGGGGTTATAATACAGGATAAATGATGACAGATAACAGCAGATAAAAGATTTACATGTTATTTACAGCTATGGTAAATGTTTGTACTTGTGTAGCGCTTTTTCATGTCAGAGGACATGACCAAAGTACTTTACACTACATTCAGTCATTCACCCATTCACACAACGACTCCCACACTGTTGGTGGCACGCTACATTGTAGCCATAGCTGCCCTGCGGCTCACTGACAGAGGCGAGGCTGACGTACGTTAGCGCCACCAGTCCCCCTGACGAACTTCAGTAGGCAATGCAGGTGAAGTGTCTTGCCCAAGGACACAACACTGAAAACCAGAACCGAGGCTTGAACCGACAACCCTCTGGAAAAACGTATTTATCCAACGCCACTGTCGCACCAAGCTATAGTTGAGAAGTGCCTGTAAGTGGTGTTGGATCCGTATGTTGTTGTGTCTGTGTGTGTGTGTGGGAAACAGTCCATGGTGGTCTTGTTTTACCTACAATGTGGGGGAAGTATTTTGTAAAATATCCTACATGCGAGGACTTACAGGCACAAATGGGGACATTTAAGTAGTCCCCAAATGGTTAAGTTCTGGTCTTTGATTTGATCTCATTTTGAATTGAACAGTTCATGTAGATGTCCTTGATGGCAGGGAAAAGTGCACCAGCAATGTGCTCAGCAGTTTTCATCACCATCTGCATCGCCTTCTGATCCAAGGCAGGGCAGTTCCCATACCAAACTGTGATACAGTTGGTGAGCATGCTCTCAATGGTGCAGCGGTAGAAGTTTGTGAGGATCTCTGAGGAGAGGAATTTGTTCCTTAGGGAACGCATGAAGAAGAGGCACTGGTGTGCTTTCTTGGTGTGTCTGGAGCAGTTGGTCGTCCAAGTCAGGTCCTCGGAGATGTGGACCCCCAGGAACTTGAAGCTGTCCACACCACCCCCGCCGTCCCCTTGGTGTGGATAGGTGGATGTGGGTCAGCGTTCCTCCTTAACTCCATAATGAGCTCCTTGGTCTTTTCAGTGTTCAACTACAGGTTTTTTGTGTCGCACCACTCAGCCAGATGTTCCATCTCCTCCCTGTAGGCGGCCTCATTGTTTTCTCTAATGAGGCTGATCGCTGTTGTTTCACCTGCAGAATTGATGATGGCTTTGGAGCCATGGAAAGGTCTGCAGTCATGGGTGAGGAAGGAGTAGAGGAAGGGATTCATCAAGCAGCCTTGTGTAACTCCGGTGTTTATGGTAATGGTTGATGAGAAGCGGTTGTCCAGACATGTTGGGGCTAGCTGGTCAGGAAGTCGAGCAACCAGTTACACATAAGTGAACTGATGCTGAGTTCTGTGAGTTTGGTAATAAGTTTTGATGGGATAACAGTGTTAAATGCACGGACTAAAGTATATGAACAGCATTATGTCGTAAGTGTTCTTACTGTGCAGGGGAGAATGGACAGTTCCAGACAGGAGTGCAGCTCCATCGAGATTGCACCCTCTGTGCTCCTTTTCTGCCTGTATGCAGATTGGTGGGGTCCGATCTCAGGTGAGCTAGAACCACCCGCTCAAAGCAATTGGTGATGATGGGGATGAGGGCTACTGGAGGGCAACTGGATGTGACTTTGGAGGTAGACTTGAAGCTGGTAGGTACCACAGTGTGGGCCAGGGACAGTGTGAAGGTGTCCGTTAGGACTCCTGCCGGCTCCCCAGAGCACACTCTGAGGACATGTCCAGATATGTCATCAGGACACGTTCAGGGACACCATCAGGACCCACAGCCTTGTGGGCTCTAATCCTGCTCAGGACTGCTCCTACGTCAGTGGAGAGGAGAGTCAGTGGCTGGTGGTCTTTGGTAATGACTGCCTTGGTTGCAGCTGTAGTGTTCCCTCTCTCAAAACAAGCATAAAAGTTGTTGAGCTCGTTGAGGAAGGAAAGATCACAGGAGGTGGGGGATGGTGTTGGTGGTCCTGTAGTCTTCAAGAATCTGAAGGCCTTGCCACAAATGTCGGGGTTCAGAGTTGGAGAAGTGATCCTCCACCTTCCTTTTGTAGTGGTGTTTGACCTTCTTGGTGCCCCTCTTCATTAACCTGAATGAAATGTTGCAGGCCTTCAAAAGGAGGCAAACATCCCGGTTCATCCAGGGCTTCTGGTTTGGGCACATGGCGGTACGTTTGTGGGTGATGACACCATCTTTGGTGATGGAGATGTGGTCCAGTACATACAGATCAAAGTCTGATTGGTAGAAAGTATTCCAATCTGGTTTCCTGAATCGGTCCTGGAGCACAGCGTCTGAGCCCTCTGACCACACCTTTGCTGTCCTCACAGTAGGTTTCACACTTTGGATGAGTGGTGAGTACAGAGGTGTGAGGAACTGGGAGAGGTTCCTCACATGATTTGATTGTCCAATGTGGGGGAGGGGTGTCGCCTTGTAAGCTCCAGCCA